AAAGAAGAATTAATTTTGGAATATGACTTAACATGTGGCTATAAATAAGTTAAGAATAATAAATGCATGGGTGATAAAGCCAGAAAAGTGTCCGGGGGTCACCAGGTCCAGAGTGCACTGCACTGCACAGAACTCTTTCCATCGTTATATAACCTTATCTTATCTCTTTGCAGAAAAGGCATTTGGTTGTAAATGTCCTTGTTTTAGTAGCAACATTTCATGCAGACGAATGTAAATGTAACTATCGTAAACTGTATTTTTAAAAAATGTGTCCTCAAAACCATGAATCAAGGCAAAACTATAAAGCCATATCCTTATCATAACATTAAGGCTATTTCACATCATATAAGAGCTGTTGCTTCTCTAAGTAGCCTGGAGTTGTTTTTGAAGAAGCTCATTTACACCGAGTTTGGTGTAGTTTGAGAATATGGGGCCAAGTAGGTGCGGGATAAGCATTAGGATGATCATTTACTATTTAAATAATGTACATGTCCATTATATGTATTTTTACATAGACGTTCTTTGCCACCCAATAGTGGCAAAAACGAAGCACTATGGAAAGATTCTGTATGCGGTTAGAGCTGAAGTTATGGTCACAGCTTAGAGACTGGTAAGGTTGTTGGGATATGGGTAGAGAACTAAAACAAAGGTATTGAAAAGCATAGGGTAAATACAAAAATAGGTCATAAGGGAATGAGGTTAGGAGCAGAAGTGAGAGAAAGGGAGAAGAATTGTGGTTTCTTATTACTGGAAAGATTTTGTGTAAGTCTCACAATTTACCCAAGAGATTCTCTAATTCTCCGTGTAGAAAAAGTTCTCCCCCTCCCTTAGGTCATAATGTAAGAAAGTCACAGATATCTCAGTGTCTTCTCAAAACTCTCAATACTTCACAATAATGAGAAACCATATGCTGACTGAGAAATATTAATAGAAAATGCTGTCTTTCAGATGCTCACTGAATCAATTGAAGACAGTTGACACATCTTTAGTAAAGCGGTATATGAATCTTAGCTCATTAACCAGTCCTGTATTATGTATGCGGATTCCAATTCCTTATATGACACATCAATAAACCAGATCTGAAAAGGTGTCATTTCAATTTTAATGTATCCAATTGTATTTTTAGATGTTCCTCCACTTAGAAGTGTTTGTGTTATTTCCTGATTTTACAGGCTATGGAAGAAGGGGAGAAGGGGTGTGGTATTGATTTGAAAGGGTAACCACTGCTCTACCATAACCTTTTCAGGATTATTCAGAACAAGACTTTTTTTCTGATTATGTTGTAAGGAAAGTAAATTTCTCTTCCTTAATAATCTTTCAGCTTTCTCTGAACCATTGTTCAGTTGCCCCTTCAGTACTGAAATATAACTTAGCCACAAACTTGTGTGTACCACTACTCAACTGTGCAATTTCTCAAGTATGTGTGAAACTAGAGAAAGAGAGGAAAAAATATTCTTATAAAAGAGCCTTCATGTAGAATATTCCTTATAAGCAGATATGGGAACCACCATATACTTTTATAAGGATTCTTAAATGTAACTGAACTGCTTACCAATCACAACATCAGTCTCTGGTGATCACAAAGTATCTAGTGTATTGTGAAATATCAGGCTACCATAACAATTGGATTGTCACCCACGGGCACCAGCTCAGTTCCAGTTTTGGCAATGACATTTGGAATGGTCACTGCAACCAGACAGAATGCTCATTGCTGAAAATAAAAGGTGAACCAGACCCAGCATGGGCCTCAGAAAAGGTGAGGGTGAGAGAGGGGTGAATATTTATAGAGTACTTACATTTTACTGGTCATTGTGCTAGGTACATTACATGTTATCTTGTTTAATCCATAAAACTGGCCTTTGAGATATTATTCAAAGAAAATGAGAATCTTGTCCAAGACCACACAGCTAATAAAAAGCTGTTACAGAATTCAAACCAAGGTCTGTGTATTCCAATCCATGTTCATGTCTTTCATTTGTTCGCTAATTCTTTCTTCATACACTTAACCCGCTATATAACAGGATAAAAGCTGTCTAGCTTTATAGGAAAACTCCCAGCTAAATGGGAGAACTTGACAGGCATTCAAGCCATAGAAATACCATGCAGAATGTTGTATAAATAGAATGTCCTAAGTGCAATGCAACGCGGAAGAGAGCAAAGGGACTCTGTCTAGGGAAGTTCATAGTTCTTTTACCTAATGGTTAAACAGACTTATTAAAGTTTTAATTCCTGCTCAAGCACCATGGAAGTGACCTTGTGAATTCAAATATTTCCAGTTAAGCAACCTCCAACGTTTCTTAAATTGGAGTCATATGTTCCCTAAAACTGAGGTTTGCTGGATGTAGCCATTTAGACCACTCTCCACTTACCGTTTCTCCAAATTTATGGCTGCTACCTCTGTAATCCCGTGTCAACTGATCCCTTTTTTGGAAGCTCTGACATTGATCTGACCATTACAATGGCGAGAGATTTCAGTGAAATTAGAAAGGTTTCCTCTCCTTTCCCAACATCATCTTGATTGCTTGAACCAAGGGGTTTACCAGCTCCTCAGGTAAATTATAGTACTAGCATCAGGCCAAACTAGGCAGAATGTATCCACCTTGTAAATACATAAATGTGCGTATATGCATTTGTATATGGATTTGCATTAGATATATATGTATATATATCTATATACTTAATATATAATAATTGGTGTGTTGTATTAGCTTCAGATGACTAGATACAAAGTATCCGAGTATCCCTGAGAGCTTTGCACTGGACATCCTATACCAATTTCACTCCATCTTTATTGAGTTGTTTTACTTACTTTTCTGAGTTTGTTATATCCCATAGTATCCAACTGGTCCTATGAAGCATCACATTGTCTTACCATCATTAAGCTATAAAGGGGCTTTCTTCCCTTTTGACAGAAAGATTTTATCTGCTGTTTGCTATGATATTGCAACTGCCTTTCCTTTTTCTTTCTCTTTCTTTTTTTTTTAATTTCTCTCTCTCTCTTTCTCCACCCCCTTTGTCTCTTTCATTTACAGTTGTCCAATCCATATTATGTTGGAACTCTTCTAAGAATAACTGCAATTTTGAAAGCTCTAACTGTGGGAGGCATTATTTATAGGCCTTTGTGGTTTAGGGAGGAAGAAGAAAAGTTTCCAAGGCAGAGTTCTATTAGGAAGATTGCCCCCCACTCCTTAGCCAAATACCATCTTTTGCAGGATATTTTCCTATAATTCCTTGTTAAAAGTTTCTTTTGCAACAGTGTATTTAAAAACTGCCCGTTTCTTTTTCTTGCCCCACTATGTAAAGTTTATATACCTAATAACAGGTGATAATGAACTGGGCTTTTGGGAGCACATTGCATTAGGAATTAGGCTTTAGTATCAGAGACTCATCTTCAAAGGCTTCAGTACACTCTGGCTGATTTTCTTATGGTAAAGAAACTCAGAGACAGAGAGTACAGGACTGGTCAGACTGCCCCACAGATTCAGAGAAGCTCTTTTCAGCTGTGCATTCACTCCACAGCCAGATGGATGGCACACCATTCCATCTACATTCTGGGGAACAGAAAGGTGAAAAGGCTAAAAAGCTAAATTAGCTCCCTGCACATGGCCTCACCGGAAGTTCCATCTATCACTTTGACCAAGGCTCATTGGCCAGATGTGGTCACATGGTCGCTCCGCCCACCAGGGAGGCTGGGAAATGACCTCTTTTAGCCAAGTACATTGCCATCCCCTCAACAATGTATTGTCTTGCTAAGGAAGAAGAGAGTGAATATTGGGTGGGTGTGTACCTTACATATTACCCGCATACATTGTCTTTTCCAACAGTGACCTCTTAAAGATCACTACGAGCTCTGTGCTAGAGGTCAGAGATAGAATATAGAAAGGAAAGGTACCTAAGTAAATGTGTATAAAGTGTTTAAGTTCAATAAATAATTACAGTTCTAAGTCCTGGTTAAAATTATGGTGAGAAGAATTCTCTAGGTGCTAAGTAAATCAATTCTTATTATGCCATCCATGCCCATAAAGGAAAAAAGAAACGAAATGAGGGAAAGCAATCTATGTGGTATGTAGTTTTAAACAACTTATTTTTTTTAAATGTGTATGACTAGGTATTACTCTTCCAATTTTTATTTTTTGCACTTTTTTATTTTATAGCAAAAACAAAATGTGTCAGGGAGAAAAGATAGCATGAAGTAATAAAAAAGATTATTTCCCCTTCCACAAAATCAAGTGAACAATAGAATATTGGTCACTGAATCACACTGTGTGTCTTCATCTGTCCATTGCTTTTGCTACTAAAACAAATTATCATAAACTCAGTGGCTTCAGACAACATGAATATTTTATCTTACATTTCTGGAGGTCAGAAGTCTGAAATGATCTTCACTGGCAGAAAATGAGGTGTTGGTAGCCCTGTGCTCCTTCTGGGGTCTCTCTTTCCTTGCCTCTTCCAGTTATTAGAAGCTGTCTTCACTTCTTAACCCACGGCCCTTCATCACATAGCCATTTATCCTCCTGTTTCCATTGCCACAGTCATCTTTTCTCTCTGACTCTGATACTCCTGCTTTTCTCTTAACCACCTTTGTGATTATACCGGCCCCACTCAGATAATCCAGAATAATCACCCCATCTCAGACTTCCTAATTGAATCACATCAGCAAAGTCCCTATTCACAGGTTTCAGAGATTAGGGTATGGACATCTTTGGAAAGTCATTTTTAACCTTACCACATCTTATAAAAGAGTAAAGCATTTATAAAACTGATTCAGTACCTGATCTTAACAAGATGATGTCAAAGCCACACTGTTGCAGGTTTCATATTACTATAATTTACATCAGAGTCCAAATAAAGAAACTTCATGGTAATGATGTTGAATATACTTACTCTCTTTGGCTGCTGATTAGGACTTTAAGTTACTAAGTCTTTGTCCAAAATTCTCCTAAGAAAATTCCCTCATACAATTATGAAATCTCCTTCTTTTTTAACTTTTTTTTTTCCAGAAAAGCAAGACTACAACACAAGAATTGAAACTATAAAGTCTCTTGTGCAAAAACTCCCTCCACCAAATCGTGACACCATGAAAATCCTGTTTGGACATCTAACTAAGTAAGTTGTAAGGGTTTCTCGTTGTGTCATCATATTCTCATTTCTTACATAAGCAAGTATTTAATTTCAAATCTCTAAGACAAGATTTTCCAAATGCATCTATCTCAAATTTTCCCCTTAGCCAATCTAAGTGTTCCTATAGAAGCTGGAGAACATACTAGAGGTAGGAAGGAGAACCTACAAAAAGAACTTCTAAAATAAGTTATTTTTTCTGGTCTTTTCAACAAGTAGATACTTGCTGATTCATTGTCATAACCTGACCCAGAGCCTTAGGATAGACCACCTTTATTTCATTATCTAGTATAAGGGAGGAGCATGAAATAATTCAGATGTGAGTGCAAAACATAGCTTCATCATGTACGAAGTGCTAGGACCACAAATAAGTTACTTACACTGTCTGAAATTCACTTTGCTCGTTTGTAAAACGTTGATTCAGATTGATAAGGTGCTATCCATGTAAAAAGCTAAGAGAAGAGAATGAAGGCAGAAAAAAACAAGTGTAAAGGCCCAGAGGTCCACAAAACTTGATGTATTTGAAAAACAGAAAGCAGGCCAGGATGGCTAAGCTTAACGAACTAGGGGTTGGTGGGGTTTGGAGTTAAGGTCATAGCCGTTAGACTGACTGCTGTTAGATCACATAGGTTCTTGTGGGCCTCACCTAGAGCTTTGGATTGTATTCTAAGTACAATTACAAACCATAAAGAGTGCTAAATTGAAGGAGTATAGAAGATCACTCCGGCTGCCCTGTGAAGAATGGATTGCAAAATAGAAGCAGGGAGACCTACCTGTAAGGTGGAAACCATAGTGGTCCAGATGAGAGGTAATGATAGCTTATATGGAGTCCTTAAAGAGATAGATTGGTGATGGGTCAGGTTGGATCTGCTGCTGGTCAAAATGCAGTTGGAAAAGGAAAGGAGAAATCAAGTGTGCCCCTTAGGGTTTGGGCTTAGGCAAGTGAAAAACTGGTAGTACGACACAGATGGGTTGAATAGGAAGAGCAGACTGGAAAGTTCCATTTTGGACGTGTTAGGTTTGAAATGACTCTTACTCATTTGCTCTCTGTTAACACCTTCTTCAGATAAGTCAGAGTGCAATACAAGTGATGAGGTTTTAGCTTTCACCATATACCTATAGTAATGTTGAATCCTGATAGAGTGTCATATAGATTGGACAGTTTTGCTTTTGTGAGATTGAATCTCCTTAATCACCCATTCCTTGGGTTGAGTCATTCCTACAGATTATTGAACTAATCCATTACATGATTTTTAACTGTGAATTTAATACATGTAATTGCACACACAAAAAATTTAAGCATCAATGGTGCATGTAGATTAAAAAGTGAAATTTGCCTACTGATTACTCTTAGCCTTCTGAACAGAAATAACAAACATTTTTGTGTGTATGTGTATACACATATAAACATATGTGTATATGACTGTTATGTTAAAGTTTATCATACTGAACATATTGTTCTGCAATATTTTGCAACTCATGGACAGTCTTCCATTTCATCAGACAGACTTATGTGATTCTCACTAATAATGACATAGTCTTCCATAATATGGGTAGCCCATAATTGGCTTAATCAGTCACTGCATTAGGGAACATGCTTTAATCTAATCCATCATATTAGTTTCTTTCTTATTTTACCCAAGAGGAGAACCTGTGCCAAAGTTCAGACCATCCTTTATTGCTAGAATATCCCTTCTTATCACCTCCACATACTGGCTGTAAGGGGAAACCCAGTGTGGCTTAGTGAAAGGATCTTGGTTGGCCTTTAAGGAAATAGCTCTAGAGTCAAATCCTTATTCTATACTTTACTCTTCTTATGATCTCAAGAACATAAAATTGGATTAAATAATATCAACCATACCTTGTGGTCATGAGAATTAAATGAGATAATGCATATAAAATGCCTGGCACAAGGTAAGCATTCCTCAAATGTAAATTCTTTTCCCTTAGGATCCAGATATATCATGAAAGGGGTTTCAAGTTACAAGTAAATACTGGAGTGCTTATGCCAGTAACTTTAACTGGACAAAGTCATAAAACAAATGGAAAAGTATACTCTTTAATGCTATGCAATACCTAGTCTTAGAGATCTTGAGAAATATCCATTACTCGGTCTCAATTATTCCTTTTTTTCCCCCAACTGAATGAACAGCTATAAAATGAAGAAACTTAGAGTCAGCTAAATCCTCCTTTGAAAAAAAAATAAAACACACAGATGAAAATCCATCCACTTAAAAACCTTGGAAGGATGAGAATCTTCCACCTTTATGTGACACCATCCCATTATTATCACCTTCACAGCATTCACATTATAAGATTTTTCATTATAAATGGAGAGAAAAGTGTTATTTACTAGTCACCAACCTTTCTTGAGTGGTGTGACCATATTCCGCCCTGCACTGATTTATAAACTGGGTTTAATTATGCATAAGTGTGTGCACATGATTATATCTTGTTAATCATTTTTTGCTAAGTTTTTAATAAACAGCCAATCGTGGCATGTCATGAAAGCCTGAGAAGACTAAATAAGAAGAAGATTGTTTAATAGGAATTTAAAAATATTCATGTTTGAAAGAATCATTAGAATGTTTTCCTTAGTCCTGATGCATTTGGTAGTTCTTCAGAAAATCTACCATCAACACTTGTGTGTAGTGTTTATTTCAAGTTGTTGCAAATATATATATTTTGAAGTTTGTTTAGTGAGGGTCAGAGAATGTAATGAAGTGCCAAAAATTCCACTTGACCTACGTACTCTGTAGCCAACAGAAGAGAACTCCATTTTTTGCTCTGCACTGAATTAAACGTTCCCTTGAAAGCAGAGCTTTCTACCAACTACCAACTGAGAAAGCTTAATACAGTACAGTTGGACTACCGGGTGGATGCCAGTCCTGTCTGCAAAAGCCAGAAGTTTTAAAGGGTTGTGATTACATTAAGCATAAGATTACACAATGGCTGAACCAGCTGTATAGTCTCAGAGTCCAGCGTCCTCATTCTTGATCAAACTCAAGGTCAAGTTCTATGCTTCTGCTGTGCTAAGATGAGACCAGAAATTCAGAATAAGCTAACATCTCAAAATGCCATCAACCAGAAACCTTTATTAATAGCCACTTTCACAAATTGACATTACAGTGATAAGTACTGTAAGGTTCTGTAGTACCTTCTGAATCATCACATAAATGGCAAGTTCTATCTCTATAAAATATGTGTCAAGTGCATTTTCCTTTAGCCTGCTTCTTTGGAAAGGCAGGGAGGCAAAGTGAAGATGAAGTTAATGAGGAAGGAGGACCTAGAAAGATAAAGTTTAGTTGCTGATGGGCCGTAGTTGGAGATTAAAAGCCAGGCAAAGAAGTTACATAAGCAATAGAGAACCACTGAAACTTTATTTATGGGACACTTGTATGATGTGCTCAGTTTATGAAAGTAGTCCAACAACAGAGTGTAGTGTGAACAAGATAGAAGGAGAAAAGAACCCAGGAGGCCACATGGGAGTTGTGGTTGGATTAGACTGTTGAACATCAAATGGAAAGACATGGCCTAAATCTTGAGAATTTTCAGAGGAAAATTCCACACAATTTTTATTTCTCTCATTTCTTTATCCCCATATCCCATCAGCCATGGAGTTAAGTCTCAGGTTTCAGTGCTAGGTGATTGTGAAAATAGTCCCTCTGACAACAACAACAACAACAATAATAATAATAATAAAGCAAAAGGAGATACTGTGTAGAAGGGTGCACTCTTTTTCTCTATTTTGCAAATATAGAGGAAGAGGAAGATGAGGTTAATGAAAACTAATTAAATAGGATGAATCCCATTTTGTCAGATGTATATTGAATCAAGCCCTTTATATGCTGCCAGGTAGGATGTACCAACCAGCATGATGGGAAAGCCATATATGTAATATATCTCAAGAATAAAAACCTTTCAAATCTCCCTGTCTTTTGAGCCAGGCATCTTAAGTAATGAGGGAGGCAGTTTACACAGACAAAATCACTTATGACAGTTGTATTTGCACTAGTAAAAACTTGGAAACAACCTAAGTGTCCAGTGATAGGGGAAGGTTATATAGAACATGATACATCATATCAGCTTAGTGAAATGTAGTTCATAGATAATTGTTTTTTTTCTTAATTTGGAGATAAATTAAAGTCAGGGATACAATATCTTATGTACTCAAAAGGAGTATAACTGTAAGTATGTGGGAAATTTGTGCATCTAGAAAAGACTAAAAATTTTTGTTGAGATGTTCATATTTCTTCCTTATAGTCATTAAGTTATGAGAGTTTTTTCCCCCATGTGTTGCTTTTTCTCTCCTAATAATGGTATAGAAGGCAATCTTGAGGTTAAGAAAGCAGGTAAAGAGAGCAGGCTTTGGAGTTAGGCAGACCTGAATGTGAGTCTTGGCTCTGCCACTTATGGAAGGTGTAACTTTGAACAAATCACCTCTAAGCTTTCATTTTCTCATCTGCCAAATGGAAATCATAATAGAAGCTATTTCTCTGGTGAGGAGTAAATGAATAGTGTTTTTAAAGAGTCTCACATAGTACCTATCACTTATTATGTTCTAGATAAACATTATACATCAGCATGTATCATTTTTATAGGGAGAGAAAAAGAAGACAATTTTTTAATAAAATAAATGTAGGAAGAATTGTAGAAGCTGCATTGCCAAATTTCCTGGCTTCCAGAAAATTTTTTATCTCACCACAGAATCTTTTTCCAAAACCTGAGTCCCTGCACTGGCCTGACTTGGCCAGTTTCCCCTAGTCCCAGGGAGGCTGATTTCACCTGTTTGACCAACCATATGACATCCCACACCATGCCAAATCCCTTGTGAAATGCCCAGACCAACTCTACCCTGTCCTTAACTCTCCATCTGCCTGATTTGCAACTTGTCCCATGTTCACAGATCAGACTACTTTTACCTTCGAAGTGGTAGCTCGCTGAGATCAGCTACTCTACCTTAAGTCTTAGGCCCAGTGTGAGGAGGC